CTTTTTTAAAATACTCCTTTATGATGTGTGATATATGTTGTATATGCAGCAGAGGCAGACAACCCAAGTGCCCTCAAATATGAATGGAATGTATGGATAACATAACAGAGAAAGGAAAGCATTTATTTACACATGCAACACTTTTTATGGCCACTAAGGCCTAAAGGATGCACTGTACTTTGCAGTATTGCTTTTTTCCTCATTGCATGAAAGTGTTTAAAGCATCAGAAGAGGGACCGCCAAGAGCAAATGTACACAAGACCGTGTCATATAAACACTTTCTGTGTACCTGAGGGGCTGTGGTCACAGGAAAAAGTATTTTTAGCATCTAGCGGCAGAGGTGTTGGTCTCTTGAGGGATCTTTCGCTAAGTGGGTAAACATCTCAGCTTAACAAGGTGGGACTGAGAGCCATACCTGTGGCTTAGGATGTGGTCGGGAAAACTTCCTCTGGCAGGTCGACTGCCGGTGACAGAAATCCATGAATGAAGGTGTGTAAGGATACGGGAAATAGAGCTCATGATGTTTTAGATTAACCTTACCTTCATTTCTCACTGAGAAAATGGCCCTTTGCATCAGGTGAGGCATTGTTTTATTGGATAGGACATTTGCTGTTCTCAGATGGGTTTTCGATAGGTCTATTATGGTCCAGTTGGCTTCTGGACAGAGCTATATTATGCTATCCTTTCACCTTCCTCCTCTCTTCCTGTAAGCTGCTAATAGGCCCTCTCCACCTGGCTCACCTCCAGCTGACCCAGAAGAGGCCCTGTGGTCGCTTTTAGATCCATCAGGGACGTGAAAACTCGAATAAACAGATGAATTGAACAGATCCCACATAAGGGAAAAGGAAATTGGAAAATGGAAATGAGAAAGTGGAAATGTTAACGATAAAACAGGCTGATTGATGGAGGTAAAGGGGTGGAACGAGGGGCATCCCGATGACAATTGTTTCCTTCCCAAAAGCTGCTGATCTTCATGGGATTAGTTTGTGTCAGTGTGGATTAGCAAAAGCAACACTCCTCAGCAGGGGTCGTGACACGGTTAGCATCGACTGGATGCTCCTTAGACTCCCCCTGTTTCCACCTCTCCCCGTGGTGCTGAGCTGGCTCTTATTATGATGCCGGCATTGTTAATATGACATGAGCGTTTGATGCTGTTGCCCAAAGGAACTTATTTGAATCCTGTATCATTGATTGTGTGTTTGATCTGTAAAGTAATCACATGTTTGTGGCTTGTTGGAAACATCTAACCGGTGTTTGCCTTCAGCTACTTCTGGTGTTCATTTGTGTGTGGACTGGGTTTGTTCAGAGTGGTTTTATTTCATGTTGTTTCATTCTGTGTGAACCTGCTATTCCTGCACATTTGCAGATAAAAGTGATGCTTCCCTAATATTATTAGTATTATACTATTTGTCATTATGTGGTGGCTGGATGGATTGAACCAAATATCTCTAGCAACTCCAACAAATCTAAATGTACATAACATATTTTACTTTAATTCATTTTGGTTAGGGTTCAGCCATTTAAATTCAAAGCATGACACGCACTGACAAGTTAAAATAATTTAAGTTGATATAATACAAAAGACTCTTTTAATGCGATAAATCACTTTTTTCAAATTGAAGATTTCTAGACGATTCTTTATGGGGTATTAATGTCCAAATATGTTAATAGACTTTCAAAACATAAAGAAGTTTCTAATTTCAAATAAATTACTTTCATTTCAGACTTTTTTAAACACACTTAAGTGTTAATATAGATTTTTTACAAAAAAAGCTTAAAAGTAAGAAGAGAATTATAATCACCCATGATAACTATTGTGTTGTCATGTGGACAGGATGATATAGTAGTACTCTCACTAACTACATGAGAAATATAAGTATATGAGTAAAGTGTTTGTAGCTGTCACCAGCAGAGTCTCCAGCAGCAGGACTTTGTGGTGTCCATTTAAGGAGATGGGAGACCGTGTTGGTAGGAAGAGACTTCATGAGTTAAGAGGAGACTGAGACGGGAGGCTTTGGTTGGCTCTAACAGTCTGAGAATCAAAGACTGATCTTATGTTTCAGTCTTTACCGCTGCAGACTTTTAAACTGTAGCTCGGGTGTAATGTGACGTAGTGTAGGCTCCATCTTCTACACGTTGGTCGCTGTGCTGATTCGTTGGACAATTACGTTTTTTCCATGCCTTATATGGACTGCGTCTGTGCACCCGTCAATGAACAATTAATTAATTTCCCATGGGAATAATGCGCTGTAGGATGTTGGCAGGTCAGAGTGAACTTCTGATGTGTTGAAGCAGACTGTTGTAGCTTTTATAGGGACCATTTGTGGCTGTCTGAGAAAAGGGCAAACAAGGTCCTTGTTAAAATGGTATAACATTAAAACGCTGTATGTGCCAGTTTACGAGGCACTTCTCTGACAATATTTTAGTGGCTAAGAAACCATAATCCACTCCGTCTGTCTCAATTAAAATTGGTTCTACATTTATGGAAGCTTTAGCTAGATATTTGATTGTTAAAATCTCTTCATGACATGTGTCTGATACATGCTAAATGTTATTTCTGGACTGTGGTCAAGAGAGGAGATTTTGCAGTTTTTTATTTGAAAAGAAATCCCTAAATTCATGAAAAATACAAGACTATACTTTTCTAAGACATGTAGTTGCTCAACCTTACAAAGGATTCTTTTTTCAAAAGCTTAAAGGCATTCAGGCCCTTGAACACCCCAGTTGCAGGGCGACCAATATGGCATACTCTACAGAGATTTGCATCATGTGCATCACATTTTTGACGACATTTCTGATTGACATGGCAAGCATTAGTAACAGGACTACATTTCCCATCCCTTGGACAGTCCTCCATATTATTACACTGTTGCTGAGCTCAGAGACGAGCTCATTAAATGAACGTCCTTCATCACCCTGTTCGGTGAATGATAGACATTTTCTGGCTCGGGGGGTTTCTGTCTGTCTCTTCATTAGGACTCGATGACAGCCAAAGCTGTCTTTTTGTTTGGACCCTCACCTGCCTGTCATCCTGTGGTATGCACTCCCAGGAACATAAATATAGGGTTTTGCTTTAATGCTGGACTAGGTGGATTTGGAAGCCGATGGGCGTGATGCTTGATTTCATATTATTTTACCCAGAGGAGTGAGCCTCTGCCTAATTCGTCCCCAGAAATATTTCCCACGTGCAGAAAGAGAATTACAGAGCTGTGATTGGATAATAGACTCCCTCCAAGACAGGAAGTGTGGGCTGGCTGAGCAGAGAGATAGAAAGAGTGAGAAGAGATGAGAACATCCTGATTGGGAAATCACCCAACACATCATTTATCTGACCAAAATCTAACACTTTCTCCTCAAAACGCCTTACACAAACTGTGTATAGTGTGTGTATAAACTGATATAAACTGTTGTTAAGTGTGTTTGTATTAGAACTGAGTCATTTTGATTTTTTTTATGCGACGATATCTAGCAAACAAAGCTTTTTTATTTAGTCCCAAAATACGATTTGTAGGCTGAGACATCTCTGCAGAAATACCATACATTATGCACAATGATATTTTGACACCTATTAAGCTTTTAACAAATTGCGATAGACTACACCATATTGCCATTTTGAAAAATAAATAGATTGTTCAGACTTAGTTTATATAATGTTGAAACTATTTACTCCATGACTAATGTCAATGCAAACTAAAGAGATTTGTGTTTTGTATATGAAAGAATTTGGATCATTTTGACTAACTCTTGGTCTGGACTCAGTTGACTTCTTTTACTTGGGTATTTGTCTTGTTGATGATTAAATAATCCAAGCAACATGCAATCAGACTCCAACTGTCGAGGAAGTCTTTTCTCCAGCATCCCTGTACAGCTGTGGGGGAACACGTGCAGCCTGAGAGCTCTTAAATGGAGACTCTGTTAAAGAATGTCCAGTTTTTTTTTAATTGATCTGCGCTGCACGTGATGTGTAATGACATCCAGCTGGAGGTTGTTGCAGGGTAAGGCAGAATGTACAAACACTCTCCCTCTACCTATTCGCCTTTGCACTTTTTCCCAGCATCCCTTTCACTCTCAGATGGAAGGGGCTATTGAACGTTTTTTTTTTCTCTCTTCTGAACGGTGTGTGTGGTCTTTGTAGCCTGACACTGGGACTTCTGTACCTGTGTGTGTGTGTCCTTTTGACTTGCTACGGGGTTGCCTTTGACGCTGCACATTCACATAACAAATTAGGGCATCCAGCAGAATTCCACAGCCTACTTCCCTTTGTTTCTTAATCTAAACTTACGTGCCATACAATCCTGCTGTTGTGTCTGCTTCCTCACTTTAGTGTTTGCCCTCCTTTAAAGACCCCTGACAGTCCCCTATGTCAACGTCCCTATAGAACCGACCCAGGGTCCTTTTCTGCGCAGCTCTCTGGGACAAGGCTCGATGCTACAGTCTGCTATGTGAAAGCTTGTTGTGTGCGCGTCTGGCTGCAGAAACAGCTGTTTGTCCTGGGTGGTTTTGGCATGCGCGGGTGCAGTCCTAGGGTCAAACCCCATTTCACTTTGTTCTGACCCAGTGTAGTCCTGCGGTTGGCCTGGTCTCAGTCGGGACGCCCGGCCTGAAAGTGTGCTAATTGCACGGTTGTGGCCAAAGGGAGGCAGCGGTGGATTTAGCCATGGATGAAAGATGGGTTTTGCTGCCGCTGCAACCCGTGATCATGGTGACCTAGAAATGGGCACATCTCTGTTTAGTGTCTAAATGGATAACTCAAATCTTTCTGGACCACAACAGTGAGCTCTCCTGCCGAGTGAGCAAAGTCAGCAAAAGACCGAAAATAGAGGAAATTATCATTATCAAGGCTTGTTTGATAAACAAAGCTGTCAAAGGGTTCTAAGTATATTTTTGTTCAACATTATTTTCTATATGGACTGAACATCTAGCAATGTGTGCTATGGAATGTGTTATGATAACCCAATGACAAATCTAAGAACCTTTTTGTCTCTTTCTCCTCTTTGCAGTGGAACCAGCAGACCTCTTGAAGATATTAGATTTTCACAGTTTACCCGAGGGTGTTCTAAAAACAACGGGTCTCTGCTCACATCGGAAGTCAACACAAGGACCCGATGTCGCCTACAGAGTTTCCAAAGACGCCCAGCTGAGCGCCCCCACCCAACAGCTGTATCCAGGTAAGTGTCCGACATAAATCGAAGAATGAATACTAATATATCGTTCTGTTTCTAAAAGCATTTATTTTTCAATCCAAAACCATCTCAAATCATTGTTGTACTACTTCTCCAATCATCACTGGTGATATTTTCCCAAGATCTTTACCATTTCATCTTTCAAGTTTTCTCTGCTGCACAGTCTTACTATATGGCCAGCTTTATGATCTTTTACCCCACATCAGACTGGGGTTATTACATTTAGCTGAGCTGGAAAGCAATTTGTATTTGCTCCAGCCTGTCCTGGGAAGGCTAGGTTTGCTTTTTAATTTTTTACTCCGCTGTCAACGTGCTTTTTAAAAAACTATCTTTTACTGGAAACCATCTGGACAATTCTGGTAAATAACGTAATCCAGTTGCTTCGTCACACACATTCAAATTTGAACATAATTTAGGGATGGATAAAGATAATGCGCTATAATTCCCCCCTTGAAAATGCGCACCAGATGCAGGAGAAATCCAGCCCTGTAATATTTGGTGCTGTAGGAGGAGCTGATGGAAAAGCAGTGAAAAGAGGGGTGGTAGAGGGGAGGGAAGTCTAGGGTTCCACTTTTGCCTCGTTCTATTGTGCTGACGTGGCTCTGGGTTTCTGCTTTATGGAGCAGCAGAAGAACGTTCCTCTCTCTCCTCCCTCTCCTGCTCCTCTCCCTCCTCTCTTTATTTTCCCTCAGCGCGTTCATTTCTCCCTCTATCATTTCTCCTCGCACTGTTCTTCTCCCTTTTGTCTGATGAGGCTCCATTTTCTGTTTGCTTTTCTTTCAATTCAAAACCATAATTCCCCAACCCCAGACAACCAACTTCTGAAATGATTGGTTTTCCTGCAGCATACAGAAATCAAATAAAGGAGCAGTGATGTGGTCTGGATGCAGAAAAGAGGAGGGCATAATAACCTTCCTGTGAGCTAATCTCCCACAAAGTCTTTTGGGGATGTTGCGTTGGCCTCAGAGGAACTTTGATCCGTGTCATGGCTCTTCTTTATGGCTTAAAATAGAGCCACGGAGCTCATGTGGCCTGCGTGTCCTATCATGCTCTCCAATCAAACCAATACTGTTCACTTTGAAGCGTGGAACAGCAGAGCCCATATTGAGTCTCTGTTTAGATACACACGCTGTAATTACACTCATGCTACTCTGGATCATCTGAAACAACAGTCTGCAGAAAACAAAGCTGAGATGAGGAGTTCAGCAGGCACCACAAAGTCTTAAGTGCAAACAGAATAACTAGCTGGTTGTGGCGAAGAAATCTACTTGTAATATCCCTCCATCGCCTCAAGATTAAGAAAATGTACGGCTAATATGTTCCAGAGGGCAACAAAACGTGTGAGATCATTTTATCCATCTGTTTTTCCCTCTTAACTTTGCACTGAGTTATGACTTTGGCCCGGAGCCTGGAGGTATAATTCGCCTCAATGATCATCCCAGCATCCTGCCTCCTAAAGGTTAGACAAATGCCACATATAGAAAACAAAGGAATGCAAACGTGCTTGTTTTGTTATGGCTATAATGTCGGTGATAAAAGCCACAGTAGCTCTGATTTGAGAACACAGAGGCCCGTGACCCCGTAACCACAGACAGTCTGTGATGTTGTGTTGGAAAAGAGCAAGTGCAGACATGCAATCATTAGGCAAACATGTGGAAGGGATGATTCATTTCAAACTACTGAGGCACTGAACACAGAGGAGTCCTTTCTTACCTTTACGATGTGAAGGAGAAGTGAGGAAATGAAGCCGTCGGCCCTCACTAACTTCATAACACTCACTTCCCACGTCTCTTCTAGAAAAGCCCACTGTATATATATATCTATGATAAATCACACGTACTTTACCATAAACAAAATCAATTCAGGAACGTTTTTATTCATGTCATAATTAGTACATACAGATAAGTGGTTGTATGCAGTGGTTTTTATATTTTCCCTGAATGGGGTTTGCTGTCACTTGGCATTCAGACTTGTGGTCTGGACTGCTGTGGTTGGATGGCAGCGGACCCTCAGTGAGGGCACTCTGCTGCCGCCTACAGTGAGGTTCAAATGGCCTGGCACACGCTGTAAAAGCAATATTGGTGCCTGTATTTGATATCATAGAAACTCACTGGCCTAAATGTGGCTTTCTATTTAAGAGATTTTGCACAAAACCCAGAAAAATGACATGCATATAATTAGAAATTCAGTTTTTAATTACAGAAGACACAATTATAAGAATATGTTTACAATTATGGGATTCTGAATGACATCTAGATGGGGAAGATGCATGATAAAGAAAATGTTGCCTAAGCCAGATAACCAATCAATGTTTTAGTTATTTTAGCCAATGCATATCGCAGTAGTTTGCTTTGGATAACACTGTAGCATTATGCACTCGTAAAAAAAAAAGGTAATGACGTCATCAAACACGTTGAGCTCCATTCCATAACCTCAATAGAACGAAGATGTTGAGTTTATCTTTAGGCCTTAAACTTGAGTGCTACCTTTCAACCACCCACGTTCATGCAGGTCCCACACATCCATCTTCCTCTCTCTTTGTCCACGTTTCTGCCTTTTTTCGCACGCAAACAGGTCCACTTGTTGCCTCTGCAGCAACGTGCAATCCCACTGGAATGCTGCGTCTCCATACAGAAGGAGAGTTTTGGACACAGCGATGACTGAATGACCAATTACAGGACACAAAACGTTCTACCCCATTTACCTGCCTGTATGCACACTGACAGATGGGGGAGAGGATCAGCTGTAGTGCTGCCCCTCCCTGACGTTTCAGGCGTTTTTACAGATTATGTCAAGTTTGATAAATGAAGAAGAATCATTTAGATGTCAGAGGCCTTCAGTGTGAAATCAGGAAACCACTCCCTTTGTCTCATTCAACCTGTACAAATCTAACTCTCCATCAATGCTTAAGCTTGAGTTCTTCCTCCAAAAAAAGTCCAACGGAAATAGAAGCTAGCCGTATCAGAATTTAGACACTTTATCAAAATAAAACACAACTTTAATTGGTTTCTTAATCTGGAGGAAGTTGCGGGGTCATGCCTGATTGGCGGGTCGAGATGTCTGGGCTTGTGTTCTTTCCCAGGCCTTTTAAGTCCGACACTGATGATGATGATGGTGCTGCCAGGGTAAACTCTCAGGACTTCTGGCACCACAGCCTCTCCATTCCCACATACACACACTCAATGAGGAATGAAGTATCTCTCATCTGGCGGCCTGGTTGAGAGACACATTCCAGAGAAACCCGAGCTTTTTCTAACCCCCCCCCCCCCCCCCCCCCCCCGCCGAGCCTTTTCCATGAGGTCCTGAGGAGAGAGTAAAGAGGAAGGGTCACAGACACTAGACAGGATTATCTCTCTCTTCTCATCCTCTTTTTTTTATAAACCCCCTTCTTTAAGCCTCCTCTTCTCAGATGGAGGTCATATTAGGGAATCTCAGTCTTCCTAGTGATGGCAGGGACATCAATCCACAAATGAGAAACCCTGCTGTGTAAATACAACTTTAATTCAATTGACAGACAATGATGTTTACCAAAACAAATCAAAAAAGCCGAAACATAATTCCTTGTACCCGCCTGGTTAATTGGATACAGCGTTTGGTGTTTTCTTCCTTGGCCAAGACGGGCAAACAAACCAGAACGAAACAACAGATAAACAAACTGAGCGGAAAACATGTCATCTTTGGCAGATACAATAAAGTCGTGTCCCCCAATTAGTCTTCTGTCATTCCTCCCCCGACTCCCTCTTTTTTTGTCCCATGGTGTCCCTTTCGCCCCCAGCTGACCCTTGATCTCCACAAACAGCCTGTCCTGAGCCAGCGCTGAGTCATTGCCTCCGACAGACATTTGCTCATGCAACAGGAAATAGGCGACAAACTTTCCTTCAACTAGTTTCTTTATTTCCCACTGTCCATTTCCTACGAATATTCTGCCAGTTTATGACTTCAGGCATCCGTCTTCAAACTCCTCCATCACCCTTTTTGAAGGGTTGTCCGTCTCTGATCTTCTTTCTTTTGATTGTGGTCTCCCTCCCTTGATGTCTGCCTTACACCGTCCTGTCGAAGCATCTGTCAATTAAAGCAATCTTTCTCATATGATGCCAAGCTGAATTCCTGAGGGAGCACACTGCCAAGGCATGTGCTCTCCGCATGATGTGATTTGATGCCTGACATTAAAGAAGGAATCCTAACAGAAAAGGCAGTGTAATGGAAATGGTGTTATTAGAGACAGGAAGGCAAGCAGACAGATGCTGACTGAGTCAAAGAGACAATGAGAAATGAAAGACGAAAGTGAGCAGATGATGGAGCCAAAATGAATTTCCTTTTCCACCATCTCTTCCTCACTTCACATTTCCACCATTGCATTCTCGCTGAAATGTATTCTTCTCCTCATCCGCTGACTGGCTAGTTATTCCAATTTAACATTTTCCAGTCTGTCTCCTATTATGCTGTAAATGGCGACAGGGTAAGGGGGTTTGATGGCTGCATGAGGTGCTACAAAACCACCAAAGCCACAAAACCCTGCCTCTCTTTTCCGGCCGTCTGGAAGTCTCTGCTCTGCACGGCTAAGATCTGCTTCTGGAATCACAGTGGTTTCTTTGGATTTGTTCAATATAATCCAGATAGTTGGTTTCTCTTAACAAAAGTGGAGTTAATAGCCAGATTGCCTCCGTTTTTTTCTCCAAACTTAAAGATCAGAAAGCTCTGTTTGCTTCAAGTGAAGTCTGTCCTCAACATTAGCGAGCAACAGTCTCCTCGGGTGGTTGGAAAAGACCGCCCTCTTTCTGGGGCGATGAGAACACCCCACTAAGGGAATCTGTCTGGCAGATGTGCCCAACACATTAGCAACATGGAGGAAATGGTTGAGGCTGTGCAGGGGAGACGTGCAGATGGACGAAAACATGTCCTTTTCATGTCTCTTTCTGCTACTTGTATGCGTTTCATTACCAAATTACCATTGGTGTTTCCATTGCCATACATTTGTGGCTGTACATTTTGTACTACTATTTACTCATCTCCCAACCTTTGCTGAAGCCCCTCAGTATCTGTTAGATCGATCAGCTGTAGGAGAAGAGGGAGGCGGGAGGAGGGGTTTGAAGGATAGTTCGACCGTCTCCCAGGATCACATGCTTTTGTCATTATGCTTCTCATCCTGTGCTGGAAATGCTCCACTCCTTCTCTTCTGCTTCTAACTTTCGTTTTTCTATCCTCTGAGCAGCCTGTAGCCTGCCAGCCATCCAGTTCAGATTAATCCTGTTACATTTTGGACGCTCCACAAATCGCTTGTGTTCCCTTACAGTGCTCAAAGCACATCTTCCAGATTTTTCCAATCTAAATCATCTGCTTTTTGTAATATTTCTTTCCATTAGGAGTAACACTAATACATTTCATACTGCCTTTTGACAACGATGAGCACAATCTGTCTCTTAAAATTACAATGGGGTTACAACAACCTGAACATAACCGTAGTATTCCATTCCACCTGTGATGATGAATAGTTACTGCTACTTATAACTCTCCAAAAACGTTTCTTTCCACCCCGCCGTCCCTCCTGCCAGGTGATGTGTTCCCGGAGGACTTTTCCATCTTGGCCACAGTGAAGCCTAAGAAGGGCAGCCAGTCCTTCCTGCTGTCTGTGTACAATGAGCAGGGCATCCAGCAGCTCGGGCTGGAGGTGGGCCGTTCTCCAGTGTTCCTGTACGAGGACCACACAGGCAAACCCAGCCCCGAGGACTACCCCCTCTTCAGAGGAGTCAACCTGGCTGACGGAAAGTAGGTGCACTCGTCTCCGACTTGACGAACATCAAACACAGTACTCTTTTATATTCATATTAAACCCAGCATTTTGTATTTTCTCCAAACGAAGTCCATGTGGATTTGTTAGACTTTGGTTAGGATTGTAAGCAGCACCTGGCCTTATTTCCCCTTTATATACAGATTTGTAAAATGCAATATTGTCAGTGTTTATTTGGAAAATAGTACATTTATCACCCTATACTTAATATGGATTGCATTGCCTTCAAATCTTCTCCTTGAAGGCCCAGTGTAGAATTTGTTTCGCCTATAAAACGGGATTAGAAAGGGAAACTTTAAATCCCATCCCAAAACGATTTTCAGGAGCTCAGGGTGCCTGAGAGAAGCCGAGCATCCTTCATTTGAACAAACCCCCCACAATACACCATACAAAGCCAGCAGAAAATCTTCAGAGCTCCCTTTAGCAAAGGGAAATGAGATTCAATTGCACTTCAGAAAACAGAAGGGATATATTTGAATTTGAACAAGAGGCCCAACACAAAAGGGACTCTTGACAGTGTGTGAGTGGGCAGCATGTAACCCAGTAAGTGTGTGAATTAACTTCACTTTCCTTTTCAGATGGCATCGAGTGGCCATCAGTGTGCACAAGCAGACCATCACCCTCATTCTGGACTGTAAAAAGAAGACCACCCAGAAGCTGCTCCGAAGCCCCCACCCCATCATCGATACCAGGGGAATTGTAGTTTTTGGAACTAGAATACTTGATGAAGAAGTCTTCGAGGTAGGCATTATACTTTAACTCCAAATCTACGTTGTTTTAATTGTTTAACTTTATAACTTATTCTATGATTGCACCATTAAGAACTGTTTGTAACATGAGTACGTTTTATTTGTACCAGATGCCAGACGTGTGTGTGTGTGTGTGTGATGAATTGAATTAAGACTATGAGAAGTGATGCCATTTTTCCCCTCGTTATCGGCTATTTTCAAAGGCTGTACTCAACAAGTCTATTCTCGACGATTCTCTGGCCAACTTCATTTGATTTAAAGTCGTTAAGAGAATGAGATAAAGCAAATGAGATGCTTTATTCTAACTCCAGTACAGACACATGTGGCTGTGGTGCAAATGATGGTCATCCCAAATCCACGTTCTGCGTCTCATGGCGCACAGAGAGGGGGTTGTGGTAGTGTCCACATCCTCATCCCCCAAAGTCTGCCTCCCACCCATTCACATGCACACAATCGTAAATCATATTTAATTTAAGGTGCAACATATTCCACATTTTCCACACAAAAACAAAATGTCCCTTAATCATGTGTTGTTTCCAACTGTGCTGCATTTGTGTGCACTGTGCATCTGTTGTTGAAGACGTTTTGCGTTATTTTGGCTACAAAGCAGTTTAAAGTCAAACATTTTAATTTCTGTTTGTGGTTTTCTGTCTGATTTTATTTCCCACTGAATTGCCTGCAACATTTTTTGTTTACAGAGGATTAAGCCAGCGATGACAGGATTTCATTATCAGAATAAGGGCTTTCCTTCTTCCTTTCCCCTCTCTTTATGTGTGCTTTGTGGCTGGAGATTTAAGATAAATGTTAATCTGACAGGAAGCGTTCGGGGTGTATAATACCCAGAGATAACTGATGTGCATCTCAACATTAAAAAACGTAGTGCGAGAAAGAGTTAGTTTGCATAGCTTTTGTTTGGATATTTATGGCTTTCTAACATGACCCCATATGAGGGACACACACACACACCACAACACACACAGAGAGGCACAAGGAATAGTGTTGTCTTTGTCCCGTCAGAGTTGTGCTTGTTTAAAGGGGGATTAGTCTGTGAGGCTGAGGCCCTCAATAATAATTAGTAACAGAGGCTGACTGATGTGACTGATGCTGAGCCAGCTGACCTTTAACCTCCCTGCTGCACTGCGAAAACGAACAAATAGCATGAAATATGACATCACCACCCCCAAGATCCCTGAAGTTGGTCCGCCAAGCCAGAGGGGCGATTGATATATGACTGGATATAAAACTAAAACTTCACTTTGTGTTCTCTCTCAAAACTATTAATCATATCCCTGCAAACAAAGCCAGAGTTAAAAAAAATGACGGCATATACTGTACTGTATGTGTTTCCTTTCAGAACAGTGTTAGATGTGGTTCATGAGTGAAGCAAGGAAGTGCAGCACTCTTTAATAACGCATGGATTATGTTGGCATTCTAGGGAAGATGTTGACTCTTTAATGAGATGTGTTGCATTTATCCGGAAATCCTGCCGTGTTTTCATTTCTGACAGCCATCAGAACTGTGGTAACAGTCCAATAGTTACCGTGGGAACAGACAGATATTTAGTGTGAGATGTTAAAGGCCCTCCTGCTGTGTGTCTGCCAGTTGGGAGACAGGACAGGCTCCAGTGCGTGCTGAAAATGGAAAATATGCCACATAGTTTCCAAATTACGCTCAGGCTCCCTTCCTCCTCTTACTCCCTTCTCCCCTCTGTAGTTTAGTCAGATCCCATGTTGACTTTTGCCAGACTCAGTTACCACCAATAAGGGGAGAGCATGAAAACACACTAAACAAAACATATAGAAATTCTCCAGGACGCCAATTCATTCAGCTGACTCAAGAGGCTACCATTTCCAGTCAATCTCACATAATGAAAAAGGGGAGAAAATAGACCAAAAACACTCTTGGACAGTACATTTTGATATGATTTCTCACAAGTTTTCCTTTTCGAGTGATACAAGTAACCATGCACAAGAAGGAAGAAAGAAATATCCCTAAAAAAAAGTAAAGGATTTAAAAGAAAAGAAAGAAGGAGGGACACTTAATCTGATATATCAAATGTAAATAGTGTGTTTTTCCGTCTTAAGTTCCTTACAGGAGTCTGGGCCTTCTCTGTACATACAGCAGTCAGGAGGCAAGTAGTACTTACTGTGTGCTGAGGTGGTTTGTGGTTTGGTTCCTGCCATGGTTATTGTGGCCACAGAGAAAGCGTCTACCCGCTATAAGTACCATAATGTTATTTTTTTCTCTGTAGCTTGAATAGGAGTACTGTAGCGTGTGCCAGTAAAGACTATGAAGGTAATTAAGGTGATGATTATATAAGAAGACAGATATTTTACCTGGTAATCAACGCTCATCTGTTGCAAATCAAATAGTCATTACATCTTCATAATGACTGTAATGCGCATGTTAAAATCAGTCATTAAGAACCGGTATCTTTATTAAAGTTCAGCTAATGTATTGTGTGTTCTTGATGACTGTAGGGTGGATGTTGAAAGCTTGTGTGTATTTCCAGTGTATTTTCATGGCTGTTCAGAGTTTATGGCCTGCATTACACAGTACATCTGCAGAATGTGTCTCATGATTTCTGTGTTGTTTCCCCCTGAGTGTGCCAAGAAAAATCTGAGATAATTTACTGCCCATCCCTCGGTTCTAAGTAGCATTCAGTGAAATAAATGACTGTGTCTGGTTTGAGGGAACACAAACGGGGGCAGATGGAGCACTTGGCCTCACTCGGGGGGGACCACAGGGGACCTGGAGTGAATCGAGGTTGCCGAGGTGGAGCTGTGCAAACACAGCACTTCTTGTCCGGCCTCCATTGTTGCAACCAGAGCAGAGCTAAAGTATCTGAGTCCAGTATGAATGTGGGCAGGGCTGGGAAATATGGTAATAATCACGATAATTCTGCTCAAATACGATATTGTAATGGTTTCCAGTGATGCTTTTCATAAATGTTTACACAATTACATTTTTGATAAATAATCAGCAGTAATATGGCAGCTGGAACAGTCAGATCGCACTTCTATTGGCTAGCGCTCCAACACATTGTACATGATAGGCTAAGGGGCGGGACATCTCTGAGCTGTTGACAAATCACAACAGAGCCGGCCAGCTAACCAATCAGAGCAGACTGGGCTCTGGTTTCAGTCAGAGGGTGAAAAGAGGCTTTTTGAACATTAAAGCATGGAAACATGTCACAGTAGAGACATAACATACTAATAGGAACCTGAAAATTAGCATAATTTGTCCTCATTAAAAACTGAAAAAAACACTAATGTAGTTTTACCCTATCCCAATACTGATTTATTATCAATATATTGCCCAACCCTTAATGTGGGAGGTCATATAGAGTAGTTTTTGTCAGAGAATTTGGCAAATTATAGAGTTTGGATCAGATAGGATGAGAAGAACAAGATGTTCAGGACGGGGTGAATGTGGAGGAGCGGGGAAGCTGGAGCCAAAGGTTTTGGGTCATACTCTGGAAAGAATGAGGAGCTCTCTCCACACTGATGTCAGTGTTGGAACAGAAACCGTACCGCATGACATCACCTAGAGGTTTCCTTGGTATCCGCTGATAGGCTGATGGTCTGATGGTCTGAACAAGGGGGGAGGTAAGGGTGGGGGTGGGTGCATGTGTGTTTGGTTGGTAGGATAGTTAGGAAAGTGTGATGCGTTTCAGAAAGCATGGATGGAAGATGGAATGAGTGGGGGTGTTCAAGGCTGTATGATAAGAGTAATGGCTGGGGGGCCTTTAACAGGGCTGCGATGAAGCGAGTTGTGTGGCTCCCATAATGCAACCTGAGCCAGGAAAAAGTAGTAAAAACATGCGCTACAGTCGATGCTCGTTAAGAGTTTAATAATGTGATGGCATGATGAGTTTTACACATCCTGTTTCCTCGTCTTCACCTCAGGACTTTAGTTCCTATGTTCCTGCCGTTCACTCAGCGCCTCTTATTTACAGTTTACATGTTTCAGTCATGTAAGGTTTACATGTTTTCAACTGGAGATGCTCTCTTGATTCACATCTTGACTGTTTGCAGGGAAGTTAACAGCACTTTCCATATTTCCAGAAGATTTTACAAATTCAGAAACCCATTTGAGTCCATTTTGGCCCAGTTCTGAGGTCGTGGTTAAATCGGTTTTATTGATGTCTCAAGGTCTTGAATAGGCATCTGTTTTATTTTATTTTTTAGCTACACTTAATAGCTTTAGTAACGTTTTAAAATCAGTGAACAAATGTGCCTGGCCTCCTTCGTGTTAGGGATACGGTTAGGGTTAGCAGCAGTAACTATTGAATCGTTAAAAGATGGGTTATGTTTCTCTCATACAGCTCTTTAAGAGGAGACCTGGATATTTGATGCCATGCTTTGGTCTCATAATAAAATAAAGGGGTATTTAGGACCTGTTACCATGAAGCACTAACAATTATCTTGGTACATTATATCTGATCCCAAGCAGACAGTCCTGACAAGCATTTTCTAGGGTTAGGGTTAACATTACAACCTTGATGTTGGTCGTATTTACTGCAGAACTGTTGTAGTAGACTACGTTAGTTTTACTTAGGCATGCCTAATAAACCTGCAAGTTTATTTTGCCGCAGTTTTAAGTGCAAATGTGTATGTTTTTTCTGTCAAACTGCAGTTTTCCCACAGATAAAATCTAGTCAGTAGAGAATCTGTGAACTTCAGTCTTTCCAAGCTCGGTCTAGACCAGTGGTTCTCAAACTTTTTCTGTCAGGATCTTTGGAGAAAAAAAAAAGTCGGGCCCCCCCAACACAAATAGTCATGTAATGGGCCAAGATTTATTTTTAAATATTGAAGTTAACTGCATCAATCTGGTGCACTTTGAGAGCAAAATGAAGAGATCTGTGGATACATCTCTCAACACCCATTTGAAACAGAACTGTAAACAGATTTACTTTTTCTTTATGGATATTTTACAAATCACCCTTTTAAACTTTATTCTTTTTTTACTGTCATATAGTATTTCAAACCT